GTGAGGAATTTGCCTCCAAGTGGTGGTTTTTCTAAATGCAGGCTCCCTTTTCCTCTGGACATGATAGGTAGGTATTTATGTCCTATTTTATTTTAATTTTATTTCTGTTGTCCTAGTTGTTTTAGGAGGTGATTAGGTGATTCTTACACTTCAACTACATTAAAAGTAAGAACTTCTCTTCATTAAAAGACACCATAAATAAAGTCAAGCCATGAATTAGGACAAGACATTTACAATACATATAACTAACAGAGGATTAGCAGTCAAAATATATGAAGAATTCCTAGAAATCAACATTGTATAGGCAATGCCAATTAAAAAATCAGAAGAAGACACAATCAGGCATTTCAGAGAAAAAAACAGGTGGCCCATGAGCATATGAAAAGATGCTAAATCTTTCTAATTATCAGGATAGGAAAAAAAGACCATCATACCTGTTAGGTTAGCAGTGTGATAACTCCAAGTGCTGTCAAGGATTTGTATTAACAGAAAGCCTCATGCTTCTGCTGGGAGTGTACATTGGTACCTCTGCTTTGCAGAACAGTTTGGCGCTTGCTTGTGAAATTGGCCTTTTATACAACCTGTGTGCCAGCAATTCCTCTTCACTCTCCAGACGTAGAGTCCAGGACAGAGGATGGCAAACTCTTTCTGTTAAAGGCAAGAGAATAAATAGGCTTTGTACACTGCATACACTCTTTGTCACAGTCTTTTTTTATTTTTACAACCCTTTAAAAATCTAAAGAACATTCTTAGTTCAAGGGCCTTACAAAAATAGGTTGCTGGCTAGATTTGCTAATCCCTGATCCCCTGATCTAGAGTATATACCCTAGAGAAACTGTACAAGTGCCCCAAGAAGAAATGTGCCAGAATGTTCAGAGCAGACTGTTTATAATAGCAAAAACTGGAAACAGTGTGGTAAGAAAATGGATAAGTACATGATTAATACAGCAGCAAAAATGAATGAGGTATATCTACACCCAATAAACATGGATGAATATTGGCAATACTAGTGGCAGAGGACCACGTGTGGTACAATATCACTTTTATGAAGTTCAAAACAGGCAAAGTCATATTAAAAAGAAAAATACCTGTGCTAGCAGGAGAATTATACACACCAGGTTCAGGCTGATGTTTAACTGTGGAGTGAGACTGGCGGATGGGCTGAGGACGGAGGAGCACATGGGTACATTAACTAGTGAGCGGGTGCTGTGTTCTGTGGCTCCTTCTGGTTGGCGACCCTGGACTGTTCCTTATTCTCACGACCCTCCCGACTCCCTCACAGCTCTGTAACGGCAGGCACAGTCTCCTTCCCCATGTCCCCTGATGTCCTAGGCACAGAGCCGTTATGCAGTGTAGGCACCCAGTGTGGATGTCAAAGGCGTTGGTTTGGTGAGCTTTTGCAGAGTCCCAGACCTGAAGAAGGTTCACTCACGTGTGGCACAGTAGGGCCTGGGGGGAGACACGAGAGATTCCATGTGTGTGTCCCGTTTACCAAGTTCCGTGAGAGATGGCCATGCACAGCAGAACCCTGACATTTGGACAACAACATGGCCTGTGGCACTCACCCAAAAACACAGTCAAGGCTGAAATAAAGTCGGAAATACCAGCATTTGCGTGAAACAGGCTATTTCGTCTTATAAAATATTTGTTTAGATACTTGCTAGCCATTAGAGGAAATATACCTTGGCACAACCTTTATAAAAGGCAAGTTGGCAGTGATGATAATATTTTTAAAGGCACATCATCTTTGAACCAGCAGTTCTGTTACTATTTGATTGCCTAATGTGCAAAGATATATGTTCAGGAATGTTCACTTCAGAATTGTCCATAATAGCAAAACATCAAGCATAGCCTAACCCGCCTTAAGTATAACTGGTTATGTAAGTTATGGCAAACTATACCGTGGAGTGCTGTGCAGCCCTTAAAAATAATAAGATTTTTATATGGTAATATAGAAAAGTGCCCAGGATACATTATTGATAAGAAAAGAAAACTGTAGCTTAGTTTGCATGTTTGACAGTTTGTGGGGATAAAAAAGAAAAATATGTTTTCTCATAACGTGCATTGGCCATTTCAGTATGTGCAGAGTCACACTGACCGCTGGGAGGGCTCATCTTCCTCCGGGTAGTTGCATTCAGGGAATCTTTGCATGTTGTACCCTCATCTCTTAATTGCTTTTTTTTCCCCCTCTTAGAGCATATACTATTATAATAAAAATGAAAATCTAATTGCACCCATTGTATGTCAGGCAATGTCCACAGCATCAGGCACTATTTATATAACTTCAGTTTTAGGGTGTCACATTTTAAAGAACATGATACTATATATCTGTATAAGTATCACAAGTTAACCTAAATGGAACCATTTTGAAGTTACTTTGTGATATTCTTTTAGATTTTAAATTGAGATGTAATTCACATACCATAAAGTCCACCCCTTTAAAATATACAGTTCAGTTGTTTTTAGTCTGTTCACAGGGTTGTGCAGCCATTACCACTATGTAATTCCAGAACATCTTTATCATGCTGTTAAGAAACCCCATACCCATTAATAGCCACTCTTCTCCATTCCCCAGCACCCAGACCCTGGCAACCACGAATTTACTTTTTGTCTCTATGCATTTGCTTATTCTGGACATTTCATGTTCAGATAGTTTTCTTATGCTTATTTTCCCTCACTTGTAAACATTAGGCAAAGGACTGACTTTTTTCTTGTCCCTGCTGCCTAAGCACCAGAGGGCCTCCTTTCCCTCCTTCCTGGGAAGTTTGTTCTCCAACCAGCAACTTAGCTCAGGTACAGGCTGCGCAGAGGACAGTATGAAGAGGACTCGAGGTAGGGTTGTGAGAGGACGAGGTGGGGGCCAGTCAACACACGTGGCAGGCTTGCAGGGGCCAGGCGGGGACTCTGGCCAACATGGGGCATCTGAGGAGGCAAGGGACCGCATGGGGAGCGGGGTGGGTGGTGGTGGGCAGCAGGTGGCCTCCTGGTTTGACCCTTTGATGTGACAGGCAAGGTTAGGGACTTAGCTAAGAAAGATTAGTTAGTGTCCTAATGAACAAGATTCTGATTGGCCAGTGTGTAAGCAAAGAGTCACTGGCCTCTTGAGGTTGTTTTGAAAACTTGTTTTGTTTTCACAAATAAACGGATTTTACACAGGGCTCCCACACCTTGCCACAGCAGTGTTCTGTTAGGTTACGCTAACCCAGGTGTGGCTGGGACACCATTCGCCTCTCCGGCCAGTACGTGCTTTCAGCCTCATGAAGAGGTGGGCGACAACGGCGCCCATGGCCATCTGAGGCCGCCCCTTCAGAGGATGGAGGCTGGGCCCTGAGTCCTCTGAATTCGGCCCTTATTTTTGTAAGTAGCAAACGTAGATGGATGGGGCAAGAACACAGTGTGTTTGTGAGGCAGCTAGTGAGTTTTGAAAGAAACTTCTCTGTCTGTTCCCCAGACACATTACCATATTGTGAGGAAGGATGGAGCGGGGAGGCAGGAAAGTCTACATGAGAAAGTCCCATGTGCAGAAGCAACTTCTGTCAGGTGTCTGGGCAGTAGGTCTCCTTGAGGCTACTGAGCCTGGCCCATGTGGTCTTCGAACTTCTTTCCCAGCCTCCCCTTCTTTACCAAGGTCTGTAGGGACCAGGGCTAGCCAGTGGCTACTGATAGGGCTGGGGTGGGCAGGCTGGGCCCGGGTCACAGGGGGGGTGTCTGCGCCCCTGCCCTGGAGCTGCCCAGCAGAGGCCTTGTAGAGAAGGGCTGCAGGGAACTGGGCAAAAACTCCCAAGAAAGTTCTCAATGCACAACTCAGTCCCGACACCATGCAACATTCAAAATGTGTTTTTTTATTCTAGAGTACACACCCGTCGTACAGTATGTAGAAAAGAAAGAGAAGCCAGCCTTTATACCACCATCTGGAAACATTTAATTTATGGTTCAGAAAAGTGTTAGAAGATACTTAGGATCGCTAGTCAGTTTATTAATGCACGGTATCATTTTCATTAAAGTTAGCGCTTCTTCAGGAACCTCACTCAACTCCTTTATAATCTTATGCTCAGTTGCTCCATCTCGAGCCCTCGGCTGGCAGGCTGCTGAGGTTGGGGTCTCTGTGGCTCACGTCTAGGAGTGCTTACTTTACTTGTCAGTGGGAACTTGCAAATGGGAGGCAGCCATCCTTGCAGAGTAACTTGTGACCCGGTGTGGTAGGAGAGCCTGCCCAGGACGGGGCACAGGAGACTCCTCCAATCCACTGTCTCCTCTGCCAGCCCTCTCTCTGGGCACCTCCCTGAGCCTTCTCATGTACGAAGGAGAGCCAGACCTCCCTCATGCTCTCTTCCCAGGCTTGGTATGAAAATATCCTGTCAATCCACGACGGGCCCACCCCAAGGCTCTGCAGTGCTGGGCCAGGGTGTTGCAGGGTTAGTAAAATGTGGGTAGAGGGTGGAAACCAAGCGTCTCAGGCACAGTGGGCACACTCTCGTGGGGTTCTGCCGTGTGAAGAGGAGTGCTCCTGGTCTGGACGCATGTCAGCTGCAGTAGATGCTGGCCACCGTGCTGTTGTAGTGTGATGGGCCACCCCTGAATCTGGTCTTCAAGGCTCATCTAGCAGTGAGCTTAACCAGGAAATACAATCGGCTAAGAATGACTGCTGCTTCCCCCAAAATATCCGAGTGATGCATAGAATTCCGAGTTACGACACATCAAAGTATTATGTGTGTTTTAAAGAACCTTGAAAATACAATTTATTAAGTGTACCTTTTATCAAGTTTTTAGGAAGTGTTTTGAGTAGTATTGTTAACAGCAGTGTTTGGGTAAAGTAGAAGGGAAGCATATTTGTCTTGTTAAAGTCGGGAATGATCCTTGTGTGTTACTTAAAACTGAAAGACAGCACATCTTTCAGACGCTCTTGCGAAGCTATGTTTCTTATTTCCTTGCACAGTACAATGGGGTGGCAGTCTTACTTTATTGTTATTTTTTTTCTGGCAGGATTTCTCTTTCCCAAAATGGAGTCAAGTAAAAAGATGGACTCTCATGGTGCACTGCAGACTAACCCGCCACTAAAGCTTCACCCTGACCGCAGTGCTGGGACATCAGTTTTCGTCCCTGAACAAGGAGGTTACAAAGAAAAGTTTGTGAAGACTGTGGAGGACAAGTACAAGTGTGAGAAGTGCCGCCTGGTGCTGTGTAACCCGAAGCAGACCGAGTGTGGGCACCGGTTCTGCGAGACCTGCATGGCAGCCTTGCTGGGGTAGGTGCCCACGCACGCACGCTGTGGGGTGGCGCTTGTTTAGGCTGATTGTGCCTTTCGCTTTTTCCAGTCCTCGCTCTTCTGTTCACTCATATATTTCTCTAAAAGATAAACCTCTGAAAGTTTAAGGCCCTAAAGAAATGATTAAAAGTCTCAGAGCCCAGTTTGTGAATTGTTTAGGGAATCTCAGTAAGATGCCGCATCTGAGTTAGTGTACTAAGGCCTCTATGTGCCTCTGACCAGAGGCCTGCACCACCCCACCCCATGACCTTCTCCCATCCTGCAGACTTCTGTTCCTCTCTTCCCCCAAGAATCTCCTTTAAAGTCTCCCCTGATGGCATCAGCCACTCTGTCCAGGGAGCCTTGGTGTCCCCTGTCGTGTTGCTGTTTTTTGCTCAAGGAGCTCACAGTTCGGTGGAGGAGACACACACCAGCAAATGACAAATGAGTCATTAAAGTGCTAGTGCTCTGGTGTGCAAGGATGCTGCAGAGGGTGGAGGGAGGACAGGTGTCAGCATAAAGGACTGGGTATCACTCCCTGAGCTGAAACCTGATCTGTGCATGCTTACGTAGCAAGTGCAGGTAGAACATGCACCAGGCCCTTGGAAGCGCTTATCAGCTGAGTGTTGGTGCCATTGTATAATCACAAAGGCAGGCTGGAATTTTACAGCAGAAATAGCATTGGCCAAGAAAACACCTTTAATCATCCTGCAGGTATTTTGTATTTTCTGGGCATTGTGCTGGGTACTGTGTTTCTGCAGGATGCATTTGACTCAGTCACTGCCATTAGGGCACATTGGCCTGGGAAGGGTAGCCAGCTCCTCCTCCCGACTTGCCACTCAAGCCTGGACTGCCCCTTGGCCCCCCTCTGGGCCCCAGGCCGAACACAGCAGCCAGCATCCCTCCCGTGTCACCTGCCTTCACCTTGCTCTCCTCTCAGTTCTTCCTGCTGTGGTCTAACCCACTTACACCCAACAACTCAGCTGTGCCTGCTTGTGAGTGAATACCTGAGTCAAGCTTAGTGACAGCGCAGTAGACTCAGAGTACCTAGTTTCCCTTCCCACAAGAACCTTGACTGCACCTCTGGGCCGAGGAGAAGCCTTCTGGTGGGGGTGGGTCCTGGGGAAGGGAGTAGACCGTAGAGGAGGGGGTGGGCCCTGGGAAAGGGGGGGTGGACCATAGAGGAGCGGGTAGGCCCTGGGGGAGGGAGGCTGGCTCCTCTGTGCAGTTGGCATTGGCCTTTTAATATGCAGTGAAAAAAAATAGCTTGTGGAGAAAGTACTGGCTGTTTTAAAAAAGAACATTTAAATCTCTCCTAACAGACTATAGATGCTCACACTGAAGAGCTCCTTTGCAGATAGCTAGTTTTGGTTTCTGAAATAAAATTTCACTTTTACATTAATTGAAAGGGGCTTTCCAAGTGGGACCAAACTAAACTGTTCCACTTAATTTCCTTTTGAAAAATTACCATTCTAAATGCAGCTTTTCTCCTATGGCTTCATTTTAAACCAAATTCACCATGGCATCCTGTAAGCTCTACTTGTTGCCATAAGCTAAGAGCAAACTTGACTGTGAAGTGAATGGTTCTGTGTCTCTAGTGAGTGCCAATGAGAAAGGGACTTCCACTCTAATGTAGTCGTTGTGTTTTCCCCCAGCTCCTCAAGTCCAAAATGTACAGCGTGTCAAGAAAGCATCATTAAAGATAAGGTATTCTTGGGTTTTTAATAAATGATTCTGTCAAATGTTTTAAGCTGGGTGATACTTTTCACATAGTTTGCATTTGGCACTCTGGTACTCGGTTTTATCTTGGTTTTGATGGCTGATGCAGCAGGCTCCGAGGCAGGGCACTGTGTCGTGTAAGTACCTGGACAGACAGCGAGGTTGGATCCATTCAGCCACTCTCCTGTATGAGCTCCATGAGGCATTTCACCCTCTGAGCCTGTCTCCTCACCTTACCAGTAACAGTATCACATGCTAAGACCCCCGGGGGTGCATATGGGGAGTTTGTGTGAGTGAAGGGCTGAGTGCCTGTGCGTGGCAGGGGCTGCTTGTGGTCAGGTCACTCTGTCATCGTGAGTCCTTATCCCACACAGCTTATGCTCCACTCTTACACTAGAGTTTACCTTAAGATGTGCGAGTCTGAGGGGTTCATTTGAACTTGCTCTCCCTCCTCTCCACCCCTTAACTCCCCTGTGTCTTAAAGTCATTAGATGTGTGTGAGATCAGCCACTTCTCTCCCACACACTGTTGTGTGTGCCTGCGAGAGCCATGGGTGTCATGGGTACATGCTCAGTGGGAAGGGCCACCCAAGATTGCCCGCCACCTCTCCACCTGGTGCCAGATCCGCTCTCACTGTGTCTCTGACAGGTGGTCATCCACGCACGCTAAACCCTACCAGGCACACTTGTAGGGCCACCCAAGATTGCCCGCCACCTCTCCACCTGGTGCCAGATCCCCTCTCACTGTGTCTCTGACAGGTGGTCATCCACGCACGCTAAACCCTACCAGGCACACTTGTAGTCTGAAACAACTCATTCTTAAAGTACTTAAAATATCAATAAATATATGTGTGGTTCTAATATTTTGATTAATGAACCTGACAGTTTTTTAATGTAGGTCATTAAATTGTACAATAAAATTCTTGCTCTGGGATTTACCTGTCTAAAGCACTTTGAAGATTGGGTTTGTTGTTCAGGGCAGCTCAGGTTAGTGCATTGATTTGAGGGTTGCTGGCCATAGGTGCCCCTGGGCTGCCGGGGATAAGGGCATCTGACGTAACCTGCTCTGGCAGGTTTAGAGACAGAATTGGTCACCTGTCCGTGTACCTTTTCTTCCTTAGCATTTACCTGCTGCTAAAGTCTTAGGTTAGTTATTAAGAAAAACAAATCACTCAACTTTAATCCTTGTCTTAACATGGTAATATGTTAACTTGTTAACATGTGTCTAACAAGTGTGATTGAGAGAGAACATTGAAACAATGGGCTGATAATTTTTTTAGTGTATTTGTTTTATTATTCAAAGTTATTCGTATTTTTCAATGACATTGATAGCTGACACAAAATTACTAGTTTTGTTGAAGAATCATTAATGATACAGACTAAAGCTGTAGATCTTCAGGGAAAGAGTGGAACTAGTTGTGTCTGTGTCTCTGGAGAGACCTAGATCTACCCCCCAGCAGGTCACCAAGTGATGTGGGGGCCTCTGGTTCCTCATCTGTAAAAAGGGACATTTGGAGTAAATAATCTGAGGTCCTTTTCAATTGGTAAGTTCTGTACTTCCATTATTCTGGTATTTTTCAATTAATGTTTTTTTATCTGTGAGATTAAACCCCAATGACTTAAGGAACTTAAACAGCCCAAAAAGGAAGTTACTTCTTTTTTTTTTGTCTTTTTTCCGTGTCCGGCAACGGATCACAACCCTCAGTGTTGCCCCCGTACCGGACCGGGGACCGGCAACGGGATCGCAACCCTCGGTGTTGCTCCCACGCCTCGCTCAGCCAGTGAGCGGGAACCGGTCTGTATGTGGGATCCGAACCCTCGGGCGGGAGTGCCGCCGCGCTTCCCAAGCGGCGCACTATAGCAGTACGCCACCGGGCCGGCCCAGGAAGTTACTTCTTATCAGTTAAAAATATCTCTTCTGTTGATTTTAGTTCCTTGAATCATGGCTTTTTCAAAAAAGTCATATTTATGAAGGATCAGACTCCACATTAGTTTATTTTAAACTCTTCACAGCTGTCAATTCTATTTCTTTGCCTGTGGAGTTGACAAATCATATTAAGCTCCTTTTTTCCTGCTGTCATGGAGTGTCAACAGGTTTCTTAGCAATGCCTGAGGACTCACATGTTGTTTGTAGATTGTGTTGTTAGAAAGAGTGAAGAGTATTTGTTTTCTAAAGGAGAAATGAAATTAAAGAAAGGCAGGAAGATTTTTATTTTCAAAGGGAAACTTTTTTAACCTTGGTCTATGCAATATGTATTTAAAATAGTTTTTTCTAGTAGCAGGTTAATGCTATCTTTTATGTGAAAAATGAGTTATAACAGCATAACCTTGTGAAAAGGAACCAAAGTAAAAGTTTTACAAATCATCTCCAACATATGACTTCCTATATTACTTTGTCTGTTTCTCCAGCAAACTGTCCATAAAATGTGTTGAGTTGCAGATTCTGCCCTTATCTTTTGGTAGGCAGGTGCGTCCGCCATGGCCGCCTTTTCAGTGCTGGCTCCTGGACATCTCCACAGTCTAAATGTGAGCGTGGTCTTGCTCTGCCTTTGTCTTGAGATTATGTCAAGTTAACCAAATATGTTTAGCTGCTCTAGAGTGATCTTTAATTATTCAGTATAATTTGTTTTCTTTTGGTCTATCTAATAAGAGACAGTAGTTAAGGTTGTATTATTTAAATTATGTGGTTTGGTGGTAGCTCCTTCATTCTACTTGTAGAAATTAGGATGGTCCTTAATACTTTCCAAGGTCCACTTAAGAGTTGCTCTCATGACTTTTTTCAAGTGGTTTTGCCTTATCCAATGTAGCATGTAATGATTAAGACATAATCCTCTAAGATAACTGTCTTTCAATTTCAGGTATTTAAGGATAATTGCTGCAAGAGAGAGATTCTGGCTCTTCAGATCTATTGTCGGAATGAAAGCAAAGGTTGTGCAGAGCAGTTAACACTGGGACATCTGCTAGTAAGTACCCAAGTGGCACTGGAAGCTTTTACGTTAAGGAACACGAGTGCTTACCGTGTCCGGCTGATGAGCTGGTTGGTGTGATGTGGCTCCTCTGAGACCATGTTTACATTAATCCTTCAAAATACACTAAATATAAAAGCAATCCAAATCACTTGAGTATAAAATGTTATTTTTATGGCATCATTGGCAGAATTGTCAACTGGTTTTTAAACACCCCCACCCTGTTTAGAATAAACAAATCTGAATTGGATTTTAATTTTGGAAGGCCCATTAAAACCTTTTTTCACCATGAAATGTTTTTTTGATTAGTATTGTATTTTATCCTGGAAGGATATTTTAACTGGAATAAAACAAAGTTTTTAGCAGATATCCATCTACCTATTTATCCAGGAGGAGGAATTGACTTAATTCTTCGACAGCAATATAGTTTGAGTAATCACTAAATAGAATATGAAATTCAGGGCCGGCCCGGTGGCGCACTGGAGAGTGCGCCGCTTGGGAGTGCAGCGGCGCTCCCGCCGAGGGTTTGGATCCCATGTAGAGACCGGTCCGCTCACTGGTTGAGCGCGGTGTGGGCGCAACACCGAGGGTTGCGATCCCGTTGCCGGTCGTGGTACGGGCGCGACACCGAGGGTTGCGATCCTGTTACCGGTCACGAAAAAAGACAAAAAGGAAAAAAAAAAAGAATATGAAATTCAGTGTCTCTTGGTATATTTGTCACTCTTTGCTATGAAAAACTGGTCTAATGGCAGATTAGAAACATTTCTGTAGGATTTCATTGCATAGATATTAGAATCTGATATAGTATTTCAGATTGAATTTTTTTTGTCAATTAAGAACTTTGAATGGTTTGTCTTACAGGTACATTTAAAAAATGATTGCCAGTTTGAAGAACTTTCATGTGTGCGTGCTGACTGCAAAGAAAAAGTACTGAGAAAAGACCTGTGTGATCACGTGGAAAAGGCCTGTAAATACCGTGAGGCCACGTGCAATCACTGCCGGAGTCAGGTTCCAATGATCACATTGCAGGTGCAGTGTTTTCCTGTTTCACCTACCTTCTGCTCAATTCAGATGTAATTGCTACACAGAATAGCTTTATAAATGACTATTCAAACAGGAATAAAGAGAAAAGACAGGAGTAAATAGCAATTTTCATCTGACTTTACTTCAGTTAGGCTTTATTTGTTTTGCCTATTTTGATTTATGTAATTAACATTTTCTGTTGCCTTGATTGAATATCATTTGGGGTATCAAAAAAATGAAAAATAATTACTCAAAAAAGGCAGAATTTTTAACTTGTTCCAGAGAATGGCCTCAAAATTTTGATGAATTGCTTGATCTTTTTACAGCTTTGTGACGTAACCATTGTTTACAACAGGCTAATTTGTCCTGCAGCATTGAAGTGCAGCTGTGTGTCTTAGAGAGATGAGAATTTAAAATGTTTTCATACCTCAGTTATTTTTGCACCATTCTATATTGTGTGTGTATGTTATAATCATATCACTTCCATGTAAGTTAAAGAGAAAAGGAGAGGGTGGAGGACAAACTTTAAAAACCATTCCTTCATTGAACATTTAGTGATACCTACTGTGTGTCGGATGCCATTCCAGGAGCTGGGGATTCAATGGTAAAGCTCAGCTAGTGGGAAGAGGTAATTAACAGGTATGCAGTGTTGGGTAGTGGTAAGTATTATGAAGAAAAATCACCTGGCATTGAAGCAGGCGGTGGTGAGCAGGGCTGGTTTCTCTGAAGCAGTCAGGGACAGCAAGGGAGTGCACAGGCTGAGATGAAACTAACCTGGCCAGTGGGTTTTAGGAACACAGGTGAGATGCGAAGGGTGGGGGGCAGCAGGGGGTAGGAGAAAGGAACTGGGCGGCCCTGAGAAAGGCATGCCAGGGGTGACAGATAGGTGGTGGAGGGACAAAGGAGAGGGGGACAAGCAGACAAGTATGAATTGGTGGTCTTTGTGGCTAGAGTATGGAGGCCTGGGCAGGTGAATGCTGACAGATTGCCAAGAGGGGAGGTCATCCAGCAATGGGGTGACTGGTAAGGAGGGATCAGGAGAGTGGGATCCCAAGGAAGGGGGAGGTGGTGCTGAGAGGCTGAGGGGGAGCAGCAGGTACTGGGTGACTTGTGCCTCTGGAGTCATTGGAAGGGAGGGACTACAGAAGCACAGTCAGGACATGAGGGCCGCCTTTGAATTCCTGGTGGATATCCTGGAGCATTTAATGACCAAAATTTAGGGAAAGTTTTCTTTGTTTTTCTCTATGAAGTGAGATAATCTCCATGTTTACCTTACTTTCTGTAACTTTCCTGTGCCTGTAACTTTATTTCCTTGCAAAATGTTTTTATTGTGTGACATTATAGACATTTCCAGTTATTAAGAACTTCTAAGAGCTGTGCCCTCCCCCTTTGAAAAATAACAATGGTATTTGTCATACTTGAATAATTCTTCCAGGAACTAAATTCCAGGGAATGAGACACATACTAATGAATAATACTCCAGGCCTTACACATATTAGTGTATAGCTAACAAAGTTACACTTTGTTTCTTGCAAAAATCAGTTACCTTTATTTGCAAAATCGAATCTGGCAATTAATTTTCATTCAAGAATAGAAGGAATTGTAGAGCGTGTCATTTGAACACCATATAAGTAACTTACTCTGAACATCAGTGTAAAGAGTCAGGTTTTAAAATGCCAGCATAGCATATGGATTTACAAAACATTTACTTAGTGCCTGCCGGGCACCAGAGCTGTGCGAGTTGCTCAGGACGCACACAAGAGTAAGTTGCAGTCTCTCGCTCAGTCACAGTCTGGTAAGGGAGACAGCCAAATTCATTGTAGGGTGAGAAGCACTATAACTGCAATACAGTTAAAGTACCAATGGGGAAAGACCAACTAACAGCCTGATGAAGGCTTTAGTGAGGAGGTGGCATTTGATGTGATCTGGATCTTGATTTTGTCAACTAAGGATGGTGGAAAGACAACTGGTGCTCAGGCACAGAATGATAATTAGCAGGTTTGGGACCCAAGTTGTACAAATAAATATTCCTTATAAGTCTTCCTACACTCTTGTGATTAAGCTGTTTTTAAGCTGTTTTAACATTGTTGGTACTAGAGTGCATCTTCAGGCAGATGTTGCTTTCTCTCGGAGCCTGTAATGGTTATGGCGAGCATGTGTGTGAGCGGTCACTGCTAGTGCATTCCTGACCTGACTCTCACCAGCCTTGACCCTGGCAGAGCAGTGGCATATTCGCTTCTCTGTGTACCAGGGAAACTTCTGTGACTTGCCTGGGCCTCCTCTCCCTTCAGTGTCATGATTTCATCCCCGAGTCTTTTGTTCTTTCAGCTCTAGCACACTTAGTCTCACCATCTCAGGTCTTGAGTTTATTTTTAAAAAGAGTAATCATCTATGCAGGCAGCCTAAAGCCCAGGTTATCCTGATTTTCCTTCATTTCCTACATTTCTTTGTGTGTTGCATACGTCACAGGTTGATAAAATGCGTGCTGATAAAGCACTGAGACTCTGAACCATTGCAGTTCATGTGCAGATTTATTTTCTGTGTTTAAGCTGTAGTATACCCTGTATATCAGCTGTTTTAAAGTTTTATTTATTTTTTTATTTAAGCCTATATGTCAGCATAATTTTAAAGTGTCAGGGAAAAAACCCTTTTTTTATATTTAGTCTAGAAATGATTGAATATCAGCTTCTTTAAGCAATTCTTTTAACTTTTGAAAAATCAGAATTGCAAGGATCTGATTTTATGGGAAAATGTATATATCGTGGTAAATATACAAGTTATGTACAGCCACTTTGGAAAACAATTTGGCAGTATGTTATTAGCTTGAACATTCACATACTCAATTAATTAGCAATTCTTCTCCTAGATATGTAGGAGAAACTGTTGCACATACACACCAGGAAATGTGGTCAAGCATAACCAAAGCAGCAGAAATCTGGAAGCAGACCAGGTGTCTGTCAGCAGGAGAGTGAGTGGATCAGTTGTGGTGACCCAGGGGACGGTGTGTGGTACAGCAGTGAAGATTACATTACGTGTCACTATGCAGCAGTGACGGTACAAGACCTCCATCTGTGTGCAGCACACAGACCAGTCTAAGGAGCATCACACTGAGCCAAGTTGCAGAAGACTCCTGTAGTAGAGTCACATTTTAATAAAATTCAGAAATAATCAGTATAAAACATTATTTTGCTTGGCACACATATATGTTTAATGAAGCTTTTTTAAGCAGAGGAAGTAGAAATACAAACTCCAGGATTATGGTTTTAGTGATCACCTCTTGGGGTAAAGTGACGGTGACATAGGAGAGGCGTGCACAGGTGGATGAAGTTTCAGTCACACTGTCATACCTGGGTGCTGGCTTCTGGGGTACTCACCGTGTAGTTACGCTTTACTACTCTGTGTGCACGTACATGTTTGTGAATGTATCAGTTACATTTAACTTTATAGACAGGGCTCATTTCACTAATACGCAGTGTTCTGACAGATCAGTAGAAGATTAATAATTTTTTTTTTAAGTGAGCATATAATTTTCATTTGGCTGCTGTAACAAAGTACCACAAATTTGGTGGCTTAAAACAACAGATATTATTCTTTCACAGTCCTTAGTCTAGAAATCTGAAACTAAGGTGTCAGCAGGGCCCTGCTTCCTCTGACAACTGTAGGGAGAATCCCTCCTGGCCTCTGCCAGCTTCTGGTGGTGCCGGAAGTCCTTGGTGTTCTTTGGCTTGTGGCTGCATCACTGCAGCCTCTGCCTCTGTGTTCACAAGGCTGTCTTCTAAGGACACTAGTCACTGGTGTAGGGCTCACCCTAATCTGGTGTGGCCTCATTTTAACTAATTGCATCTGCAAAGAGCCTATTTCCAAATAGGGTCACATTCTGAAGTTCCTGGTGGACATGAATTTTGGGAGGACACTATTTAACACACTATAGTGGGCAAAAGCCATGAAAAGGCTATTCACAGGGAAAGAAATGTAAATGATTAATAAACATCAAAAATATGCTTAAGCCCACATTACTGAAGAATTACAGTTCTCCTCACTGCCTTTTTGCCTATCAGATAGTTAGACTGAAAAGTATGGTGGAGTTGGCAAGGGTGTAGGAACATGTCTTCTCATGATAAAGGGAGTTAGGTTGGTATAGGGTTATTGGAAGGCAGTTTGGCATTATCTATTAAAACTCAATTTTAAATACCTGCACCCTTTGACACCCAACAAAACCTACTTCTAGAAACGTATCACTCAGATATCCTTGCACAACCTCGTAGAGATATGAGTATAGCTAACAGTACGTACAGAGATACTGATTGGTCTGCCCTGCTGGCATCCCCAACCTTCCCTCGCACCATCATAGCTAACAGTACGTACAGAGATACTGATTGGTCTGCCCTGCTGGCATCCCCAACCTTCCCTCGCACCATCCCTGCCCCACCCTGGCTGGACAGCGCCCCCACCCCCTGCCCTGCCAGTCTCCCTCCCCGAGCCCTGGTTCCTGTTACGCTCCCTCCCTGCAGCACCCTGAGCTTCCGCCTCCCCTTGCTGCAGCCATGATTGTCTGTGTGTCTTCCTCATTGCTGTCATGCTGTGCTGACCCCGGCACCAGCCACAGTGTCTGGTCGGTGAGTGAAGGCAAGAGTGAGGGCAGGGTCAGGAAGGCAGTGCAGCATCAGAACTTACTCTCAGCTCTCCAGGCCTCTGACCTTTTTAGCCCTCAGCACCCCTGGCAGGGAGGTGAAGCCACTTGCCCGAGGTTTCCCATTGTAAAACAAGGGAAGGGCCGGCCCGGTGGCGCACTGGAGAGTGCACCGCTTGGGAGTGCGGCGGCGCTCCCGCCGAGGGTTCGGATCCCATGTGGAGACCGGTTCCCACTCACTGGCTGAGCGTGGTGCGGGCGCAACACCGAGGGTTGCGATCTTGTTGCCGGTCAGTAAAAAAGACAAAAAGGAAAAAAAAAAATAAAGAAAAACAAGGGAAGCCTTGACTTTGTGGTGACTGGGAACTCTGAATCGGAACACAGCGAGGCAGGATGGAAGCCTGTGCTGATGAGCTGGTGTCCTGTGGGGTGCACCCTAAGGGGGGCCTGCCGGGCAGGCTCAGCCAACTAAATCCCTGCTTATCAGAACATTCCTGCAACCTAAAGGTGTCACCTCTGTGCTGCTGACCCACAGTGAGTGCTTGTGGAGTTGAGGGCCTTAAAAACACACCAAGTAAAGCTGTGCATAGTACCTGGCCCCATGCCCTCCTTAGAGGACCCAAAAATGAGAGGCCAAGGGAAAACCCTTCTCTCCATCCAGCAGAGGCGACACCTGCTGTGTGAGCACAGCCAGTGGTCAGCACATCAGGGGCTGTGGGAACCAGGAGCACCATCAGGCTCAGGGGGACCCTGCTAAAAGACAGCTGTTGTTAAGATGCCACCTCTGGCAGACTGTGTTCCCACAAATTGCCCTAACTAGTCAGATCTGATGACATCTTCTGAGGTCTCCTAAGACACTCAGACTTCTTGAGTATAACAACTCATCCAAATGTAATGTGTTGTTGTAATTGAAGGGGACAACAACAGTGAACAAAGCACTTCCTTAAGGTCCATGTGGGGACGTCGGAGGGACAAACAGAAGACAGGTTGTGTGTTTCAAAGTGGACGACACTTTCTTTTTCTCTGTAGAAACATGAAGACACCGAGTGTCCCTGTGTGGTGGTGTCCTGTCCTCACAAATGCAGTGTCCAGTCTCTTCTGAGGAGTGAGGTAAGGAGCACGACCAGGGCCTGGTCAGGAGTTGTGAACTCTTTGGGGTTAGCATGCCATGGAGTCCACTCTTCCCTCCATAGCTGGAGTCTCACGTTCTCACAGTTGATAGTAGTATGTATGGCAGAAAAACAAAAGTGATGAAAAGCCTCATACTATTTTTTGGAAGTCAGAAGCAAGTAATTAGAAGCTACAAAGCGGTAAATTCAGACCAAAAAATTTTAAGAATTGAGAAAAATGAAAATATTTTATCTGCAGTGCAAGCAGGGTGATATTTTGTTTTTTTCAAAGCTATTTTAAAATCTATAAAATATATTTTATAGATTTTTATAAAATCCTTATAAATCTATAAAATTACTGTAAGATTATCTCAAGAAAGTGAATTAATTTAGAGCCACTCCAGAACCATGTTGCCCATGCATGCTGGGCTGGGGGTGCCCCTGGATAGGAAGTGGGTACAGGGGCAGCTCCCACAGCTCAGGGCTGCTGGAAGGGCACCCATGCAGCCCGCCCTGGTGGCTGTGCATCTCACATTGCCCTCAGCACCCTTTCTTTGAGAAAGGTAGATTTTGCATGACTTCATTTGACCAGGATATATTCAGATGGAAAAATTCCAAGGATTCTTAACATTTTTGCATGTAATCTTAACCTGGTGCGCCTTTGGTTGCTGTTCCAGGAGACATCTGGGGCTCCCTTGGGATTGATGGGTGTGTGGCATCCCCTGGTCTCCCACTCAGTCACCTGAGTGCTCTGCTCAGAGGATCCTGCTCACCTCAGCCTTTTTTAACAGCCTGAAATTCTACCACCAGTTATGGGGGAGGGGGCGCAGGGAAGCAGCTTCATATGTCCCTGACTGAGCTGGAGGGCCTGTGTGAGCCTAGGACCCCGCAGGCCACCCTTACCCAAAGTGTGTCCTCTCAGGACCTTGATGCTGATGGGTGAGGGCAGGGTCTCACCTGATGACAGTGGTCTCTGGGCCCCTGGATGTGCCTCTGGGAGGGAACAGGGAAAATGCATGTGAACTATCTCCACAACTGGACAGTCCTGCTGTTGAAGTTAATGTATAAAGGGTCTGTACTGTTGAAATGATGTCCAGGGTTTTTTATGCACTCCTAAATTTTTGCTCACTAAGAGCCATCTGAATTAGGGTCAAAAGCTGCTTTCATTTGCCTCTAATTTCCCCCCCCCCCTTTTTTTTTTTAATCTTTAAACCTACATTTCTCTTGGGTTTCTGGTGAAAGGTCCTGTTGGACTATAGACTGTTCTTGCCTCTGTTCCAAAGCTTCTGTAAATTCTGTAAGGTTCTAAGAGTCCTGGTAATAAAACCAATTTAGAAAAAGGTACAACACTGAATTTATAGTAGTACACTGAAAATAATATAATAAAATGTCAGACTCAGTATGTCCCTGACTTTAACATTAGAAGCATTAGCTGGTTAGGTTCATGATTGTATTAGGGGCACTGGAAGGAAATGTTTTAACATGTTAGATGTATGTTGCTCCATGCAGGCTTCATTCTGCCTTTTCATGCCAGTCACTTGCCTTGGGCCTTTTGGGGTCTTTCCTCCAGGTGCAGCCCAGGGCTTTCTGGCTGGGTTCTGGGGAACAGCAGGCACTTCAGGCTGCTAGATCCTTAACCACTGTGACTCTGCCCTGGCTCAGAGACCTTGGTCACACGGGTCCCTCCAGCCATTCCCACGATGTTGGCCCTTCTCCTTAGCTGTCACATCAGGGTGAGAGGAGCAGTGCCAGGATCTGTTTTCCTCTCTTTCCTAAATATCAACCAAGAGGAAAGGACCACTTTGTCCTGGTAGATCAAGGAGAAGTTATAGAACCTGCCCACGTTTGCCAGGATGGCACAGAAAAACCCGTTCCGGCTAGCTGTGCGCAGCTCACCACCTGCTCCCCTGACTAGGGCTGATTGTTTTCCGTAAAGAAGACCTATCCTTGGAGTTGCCTGATGAGAATTTTACTCAGTAGAAGAAGAAACTGTCCTTCACTTTTATGAGCCTAATGCATAACACCATGTCTTTAAAACAGTCTTCTCAGTTTCCTTTCCTCTTGTTGGGGGTCATAAGTAGTAGTTATTTGATGACTCCCCAATATCTGAGCTGAAAGAGGGGTTTTTCCTTGCAAGATGAGTTACCTGCTCCCAGTCCCTCCTGATAGTCCGTCCATCAATCAGAGGTGACAATATTAAGATTCAGGCTGGCTGGTTAGCTCAGCTGGTTACAGCACAGTATTGGTAACACCAAGGTCAAGGGTTTTAGATCCCTGTCGCAGCCAGCCACCAAAAAAAAAAAAAAAAAAAAAAAAGCAAAGTGTCCTTAAGGGCTGGCTGGGTAGTGCAGTTGAGGAGAGTGCTGCCAAGGTCAAGGGTTCAGATCCCCTTACCAGGCAGCCATCAAAAAACAAACAAGCAAACAAATAAGATTCATGTCGTTAGAGTGACCTTCGAGGCCGTTGAAAAGCTATTATGAGTTTCTAGCCATACAGAGGGGGAAAGTCTTTTCAGATGAAGGAAAACTCATCTCCAGTTTTATCAGGTATTACGAGTGATGGTACCCTGTGTAAGCTTGCTTTAGAAATATATTTATTTTTGTGCACTGTATATTAGGTGTGTGACCCAGTTGCATCCTGAATGCTTTCGATTTTTTTTTTTTTTTTTTTTTTTTTTTGGTGTTTCATGCAATTTTTGTTTATAGTCTTTAAATGTGCATTTCAGTTTATGTTTTTTTTCTTTCCTTTTAAAATTCTGGCATTGCATATGGCATGTCACATTTTGAACAATTTGTTCTAAAGAAACTATGAGTTTAAGAAATGTTATAGTAAATGTATTCCTGTATATTGGCGTATATATGTGTATACACGTGACTATACCGTATATTTACTGCATAGAAGTCTAGGGAGCAGATGATATATACACACCTGTAGTTGATAAACACCATTCTTAATAGTACAACCCAGATGCTATCGTGCCCTAATATGTTTGAACATTTTCATGCAAAACGTTTGTGCCACAACTCACGTCTCTTTCCCGTTGCAGTTGAGTGCACACTTGTCAGAGTGTGTCAATGCCCCCAGCACCTGTAGTTTTAAGCGCTATGGCTGCGTTTTTCAGGTCAGTATCCGACATTTGTCCTTCCCAGTCACTGACATTTTGCCATGAGAGAAAGTTATTATATTAACATTTTAACATGCACGTTCTGGACTCGCTTAGTCTTTGTGATAAAACCAAAACACACTGTTGCATGGGTGAAAACCGCATGCAGCAGGCGTGGGTGCTCGCTTTCCAGTCTAGTGGTGTTTTGAGACTTCAGGGAGACACTGTGCCATGGTGGAAGTCAGTACATTAGGAGAACTATTGCCTCTAAAACCAGCTAGTAAGAGGACAAATAAGAATGACATTTGGTGGGGTTTCTAGATAGATCGTTATGGAAATTTTAGCTGTTACTTGAACATGAGTGAATATCAAACTGGACATAGTTTCAGCAACGTGTGTGTCAGTCAGTACACAGCCGTAGGGATCACACACGTGTGTGTCCATAAACACATTTTGTATACATGCCTGTGCTGACTCTGATCCCAGCTAGGGACGGATCCAAAATGTAACACAGCCTGTACAAACCACACGTCCCAGGAAAATAGTGCGGGGGAACGTCTCCGTTGCTGCCACACATGTAGTGTGAGAAACACATGTCTGGTTTTTTGTTGTTGTTTATTTTTTTTAACATGTCTGAGATTGCTAGGACATTGGAACTGAGTTTTCATTTAAATGTATATCTTAATCTTGAAAACTATCAAAAGGCAATATATATTAAAATTAAAGTATTTTATATTTAATTATTATTTAGTATGAAATCAGCACAGAGATACTGGCGTCTTAGTGTTTTCTGAGAAAGTAAAAAGCCTAAGAGTAAGAATGATGACTTTTCCTTTGCTGTAGTCTCTGGGGAGACTGAGCCTGCCCCTGTTATGTCGTACGTAGTATCATTCATTCTCTCTGTGTATGTGTATATATATGTTTATATATAGCAGTACTTATATCAACATATATATATGGATATTCTATGTACAGAGTATATGTTTTGGAGATCATTAAAATGCTTTCTGTGGCTTCTTAATTTTCCAATATCAAAACAAATTATATTTTCACACTAATTACTTCCTTAAATACATGAAGTATTATTTCATATGCTTATTCCTGACTCTAAAATGGTCTACATCTTATGTACTCTGTAGATTCTTTATGTTTTGTATGTAACTTTCTAAGTATACTTATGATGGTAAGGAGTGATATACTTTTTGATGCAGTATATTTGAGTTAGTAAATTAATATTGTAGTGAATTATCTGGAATCCAGCTGATTACATGTTCTCAAGACTGTTGTAGCAGTATCCAGCTGCAGCTGCAGGTATCCAAACATTTTCCAGTTATATTTTTAATGAAAAAAATAGTTTATAAAGGACCAAAAATAAGTTTAAAGCTTAATTTCTTGATGTTACAAATGTGTGGAATGTTGCTAAGTAGCTTGAGGAATGAGGTTATCTTGTAGCGTCACAGGGTGTTTTCTCTTGGCGCGTTCTGCTTTGTCTCGCAGGCTCCTCGCCTGTACATGGTAGCAAAGGCAGCCCCGAGCACCAGTCTTCCGAGGCTCAGGGGTTCCCTGTTGACTTTACATGAATAACCCGCCCCCTTCATGTTTAGTGCTCCTTTTAAAGCCATATGTTAGTCTTTCTGTCCTTTGAAATGGAGTGATGTTGGCTTAATGCCTCACGTCTTTGCTCTCACAGGGGACAAACCAGCAGATCAAGGCCCACGAGGCCAGCTCTGCAGTGCAGCACGTCAACCTGCTGAAGGAGTGGAGCAACTCCCTAGAGAAGAAGGTAGGCCACACAGTTGCCTGCTCTGCTTGGGTTTTTTAAATTTCTTCAAATTATTTAAAGAGGAAAACCTCTTTATAATTATTAACGGTTTTTGGATAAAAGAAACAGCATCAAGAGATTGTCAAAAAAGTAAATTCTCTTCATGTGATCTTGAGCTTTATAAATCACATTATGGTTATCTTAGCATTGGTCTAGAACAGGGAGTGTTGAACTTCCAGAGCTCCTGCCCACACCCCCTGCCCCGCCATCTTTTTGTCAATTAAGTTTTATTGGAACACAGCCACCATCAGTCATTTCCATATTGTCTGTGGCTACTTTTGCATCACAGCAGCAGAGTTGAGTAGTTGAGTCGGGGATCATATAGACTGCATAGCCCCAAATATTTACTACCTGGCTCTTATAGAATAAATTTGCTGACCAGTGATCTGGAAGCTTTACAGTTATGTCTTTTCTAAGAGACAAATAGAATAAAACACTTCCATATCACTAGTGTTTACAATTGATTTTCTCAGCTGATACTTTGTGAAAATTTGGTACACTAACCACATAATCACGACCAATTTCCACACAAACGTACTCCCCTCCCGTGCTGCTTTCAGAAGGTCTTCACTGCAGGGCTGTGGACCTGCGGCAGGTACCTCCCTGTTTGTTACCACGCCGCTTCCGGTGGAGTTTGTTCTGTGATGGTCAGCTTGGCGGGGGCCTTCTTTTCATGAGGAGAAGATGAACCACATAAACACGACCAATTTCCACACAAACGTACTCCCCTCCCGTGCTGCTTTCAGGAGGTCTTCACTGCAGGGCTGTGGACCTGCGGCAGGTACCTCCCTGTTTGTTACCACGCCGCTTCCCGGTGGAGTTTGTTCTGTGATGGTCAGCTTGGCGGGGGCCTTCTTTTCATGAGGAGAAGATGGAAACCTCTAAGAATTGATAGGGAAGAAGTTGTGCCTTATTTACAAAAACAAAAACTTAATTCAATATTCAACAAACATCTATTGAGAACTTGCAGTAGGAGGGTACTAAGATGAATTAGAACACGTGAGGTTGATGTCTGAGTTTTCTTAAGATGTGTAAAGATTTGAAGGTCGTTTCCAGTATTAAGTTCAAGCAATTTAAAATGTAAATGTACTGTACTTTGAAAGAGTCTAAAATTTTAAATCAAAAGAATATTAAATCTGACATGAAATTTTTTTAATATAAATGCTTAAGCTGAAGTCTCACGAGAAGCAATAAGAAGATTTTGGTATGCTGTACGTACCTACACAAGTGGAGCAAAGGAGTTCTGTCTAACTGTGAAATAACACTTGTGTTAGATGAATCGTTGGTGATTTTCCCAGGAGCACTTTGTATTTTCCCTCAGTTCAGTGATGGTTTACTATAAGTCTTTTTTTCTCCTCTTTTTGAAGAGTGTGTTCTGTTTCTCCCTTTTAAAAATTATAGGCCTACGCTGGCCGATTAGCTCAGTCGTTTAGAGCACAGTGTTGTAACACCAAGGTCAAAGCTTTGGATCCCCACACTGGCCAGCTGCTCCCCCTGCAGAAAAAGTTTTTTTACAGCTGTACTTATTATGTGATAGTTTAGGGGTCTGAGATATGTGGTGTAATTGTCCAGCGGAACAATTACAGAAGGTGCTGACACCAAGCCACTTCCGGGACTGAGTCTCTGTGGGATATGTGGAGGTTTATTTCATTAGTTATGTTCACTTCCTTAGTGGTCTTTTCCGCATTCAAAGTGAATGGCTTGCATCATTGGAAACCCCAGGACATACCAGAATACCAGAGTAGCCTGCCTACACACAGTCTACACCAGTTTCTCTCTCTGCAAATACCTCATGTGTTTAAACTATCAGCAGCCAAGTCATGGTGGAAATCCCAAGAGTGCAGGATGTGTTGCGGTGCATTGCCACTGAGATATTTGAAATGTTTGCCCTTCTGGATATTGCCCAAGGGTTAGTCTCTCTCTGACTGTCCGTCAAATTGCATGGAACCCTCGCCCCAGCATTCAGGTCAGCTGCGCCTCGGCTCTGCGCACTCTTGTTTGTGTTCATGGGAAGGTGTCTGTCTGCCCTTTGCTAGGTCCTAAGGTAAAGGCTTGACAAAGAATGGGGATATTTACATTTTCTTAAAATGGGAATTTATTTCCCCTATAGAATTATTCAACTGGAATCTCTTAGGTTGTTTTGTTCATCTGTAATAGAAAATAGAGTGTTTGAATTGATTCAAAAAGACCTCACATTCATGGTCAAACTATAGAAAAACCATTTTATAAAATCTGGGCTTAAAAACACCCATCTTATATTTTAGGAAAGCTTAAATCAAAGGGTAATGTAGAGTGCCCCTGCCAGAGTGGGCTGGGGTAAAAGATGCCCTTGATACGCAGGGTCTGAGGGAGGATGAGGGGACCCCTGTCTTCATCTGCTACATAGCTCCCTGGAAAAACACCCGCCAGGTAGACCTTCCTGTGCAGGCAATGTCTACCTAATGGATGAAGGAAAGCAGCAGTCTGCAGGCGATCAGCAGTGTTGGGTTCTTTGATTTAAATAAGCAAATACATATTAAAAGTTTAAATAAGGGAAGTCCCTAAGTGAAAGAAATTAAGAGTTTAATATGGTATGACGTGTGTTCATTATTGTAAGTTGCTTTTTACACTCAAGTACTTGATTTGTGGCAGAAAAAATTGCCATTGTTTTGGGGGATATTACTGAGATTTTTGTCAAAAGAGTTGGCATACGTGGCATCTCTTTTTTGAGGTGTGCGAGAATAAAGAGTCTAAGAATTCTGTCCATTGCAGACAGGTGGGAATGAATGAATTTTAACTTTGGAAGAGACAAAACCACTGAGGGACTCTGCATGTGTGCCCCTCTCAGCACTCGTGCAAGTTGGTCACTTGTAGGAGTTCATGGACATTTGAAGCATGTTTTGGAAAGGAAAGTCAATTTTTGCTGAGTAAAATCCTGGGAAAGTGAAGTCATTTTTTGCCCATGAGGCATTGCAAGTTTTATATTCCTTAGTGAATACATATTTGTTTTAAAATAGCATAGGTTGTGATTGTTTCCAAAGGTACTTCTTGCCTTAGTAGATTGTGTCAAGCATGGAAAGGACACCTGTCTTTAGGATGGCTGTCCTTCAAATGGACGGCATTAGGAATCAGTGCTTTATCACACTGAGTTTTGTCCTGAGATGCCCTCAGGCCATCACCTTTGTGACCATTGGCCAGGCTGGCCGCAAGCATTGGTGGTTTTAGAGAGCTCACCACTGGAGAGGTACACATCAGAATCAGGTTGCGGGCTGTCTGGTTAGCTCATCTGGGTAGAGTGCAGCCTTGGAACACCATACTGGCCAGCCGCAAAAAAAAAAGAACCACAGGCTTTGCTGTCTTTTGGGGTGGTAGCAGCACCCCAGTGGATAGATAGAGACATCTGTTGGTAGATAGAGGTTTTTGCCGAGGGTCAAAATGCCCTTTGTTGAACGCTTGTGAGGAAGGAAGCCTTGTAGGAGTTGCCCTTGAACTCTTCCTCTCTGGGGGCTTTGAAGACCAAGTATAAAGTGGTCTTTGGAAGCTAATTATTATTCAGGAAGAGATTTTGAAAAGGTCAAAGGTAGGCTGGGGAATGCTCGCTCAGCAGGCGCTTCCTTTGACTGACGTGTGTTACAGATGACTTTGCTGAGCTTTCGTGGAAGGGTCTCTGCAGGTGTCAGCTCCATCTCTGTGTCTCACAGGTTAATGGTTGGCCCCGAGGATGAACCAAAGCACTCATGTAATTTTTATTCTTACCATACTTTTCTTATTATGTTGGGAGGGCTTTTTAAACTGGAGGGTGTGACCCATTGGTGGCTGTGAAATACGTTGACCCTTGAACAACATGGATTTGAACTGAGCGAGTTCACTTTTACTTGGATTTTTTCATTAAATACACTAAGTACTGCAAATATATTTTCTCTTCCTTATGATTTTCTTAACACTTTCTTTTTTCTAGCTTACTTGATTGTAAGAATACACTATGTAATGCATATAACATACAGGATATGCATTCGTTGAGTCTTTATGTGGTAAGGCTCCCAGGCAACAGTAGCCTGTTAGCAGGTAAGTGTTCGGAGAGTCAAAAGTTACAGGCGGATTTTGACTGTGCAGGGACTCGGTGCCCCTAATCCCAATGTTGTTCAAGGGACAACTGTAATTTAGTAGGTTGTAACTAGCATTTTTTGATTGACAAATAATAATTGTATGTGTTTATGTGGTACAGTGTGATGTTTCGATATATGTATTATGGAATGATTATATCAAGCTAATTAACATATCAATCACCTCACTTTTTTTTGTGGTACAAATATTTGAAATCTGCTCTCAGCAATTTTGAAATATATGTTACATTATTATTAACTATAGTCACTGCGCTATGCCGATCTCAAAATTTATTTCTTCTGTCTAACTGAAACGTTGTAATCTTTGACCAGCATCTTTCCAGTGTCCCCCACCCCTCAGCCTCTGGTAACCATTCTCTCTGCTTCTGTGAGTTTGACTTTCTTAGATCCCACATATAGTGAGATCATGAGGTGTTTCTCTCTTTGTGCCTGGCTTATTTCACTAAGCATAATGTCCTCCAGGGACTAGCATTTTTTTTTTTTTTCCTTTTTGTCTTTTTTCGTGACCGGTAACGGGATCGCAACCCTCGGTGTCGCACCTGCACCGCACTCAACCAGTGAGCGGACCGGTCTCTATATGGGATCCGAACCCATATAGAGACCGGTCCCAAGCGCCACACTTTACCGAGTGCGCCACCGGGCCGGCCCCTAGCATTTTTTTTTTTTTTAAGTGAAATAGAATAAAATAGAAAATATCAGGATGCACTGTAAGTGATTAGGGCAAATACAGTTTTGTGAAACCTGTTTCTCAGGTATACAGGCACACCAGTGTTTGTTCAGATGAGGTGATGTGTAGGAATGTGTTTCTTACTATGTTTCCTAGTCAAAATCTGAAAGCTATTCTGCTAAAAGATTCATTACTTTTCAGCAAAAACTCTAAGAGTATCCCATTCATTCTGAAATTCAATCAGTTGCTGCACTTTGCCTCACCTTAATTACCAGGAGAGATTCAGAAAAATGCAGTTTATAGGATTCTTTATTAAATTATCGGGACTTTCATTTTCTGTGTGAAGGGATTTTTTTTTTCTTCTGCAACCCCTTTCAGTGAGCTAATAGAAGGCCTATATTATGAAAATGTAAGTAATATCATTATCATTGTTGTTAATTAACATTAAAACTACTTTTTGCTACATTAATTGAAAAAAATGTTTTTCAGGTTTCCTTGCTGCAGAATGAAAGTGTAGAAAAAAACAAGAGCATACAGAGTTTGCACAATCAGATATGCAGCTTTGAAATTGAAATTGAGAGGCAAAAGGAAATGCTTCGAAATAATGAATCCAAAATACTTCATTTACAGGTAAGAAGCTTAAGACTGTGGCTAGATCAAAGGATCGAGTAACTCCTGTCGGGCTTTCTTAGCCAGCCGTCTGCGCTAAAGCCCTGACCTTTGGCATACAGGGAGGGACTTATTTCTCTTGCTTAAGTGAAGCCTCGGGAAAGGCACAGCCTGGGAAGCTTGTTCCATCTCCTTTTCTCTGGAGAGCAAATTCCATCACCTCCCTTCTGTGCCTTCGGTCCACTGTTAGTGAAATAAGACTTAATGCCTGTATTTTTAAAAACTAGCTGTTTTTTAAAATTATTATTATTAAGATTTCATATTACTCATGAGAAGTTGTATGTGCAACGTTTCACTTCCTAAAGTGAAGTGAAGCCGAACTACTTGCTTTTGCGTTTTCCAGTGTCACATGCTCACCCCACTTTATTTCACGTAGTAATCCAGAGCTGCCTTCAAAACAATAAATAAACAAGCTGTGGGTGCTGTGAGTAATGGTGGTCATGTAAATGGGCCTGATGAAACGTTGCTGCTCGTCTCTGTTGGCAGCACAGGTCTCCATTAGGTGCCTGTTGGTAGGTTACTGTTGTGGGTACTGTCTGCACATCAGCTTACTTGTAGCACCCATTTGTCATGGTGGTCCCATGTGTGTCACACATGCCTGTGCGAGAATCATTCGTGTCACTAAAGTGGTTTTTCAGGGCTTGTTCTTATGATGTGTTTCCCTAAATTGTCTGGAAGAGAAAATGTTCCTAATGGCGCAGAGTCGTGGCATCTTTGGGAATGCCTTTTCTCCTGTTCTGACATTGGAGGTGAGTCACAGTGCCTTGAATTGCATAGGGATTTAGTAAATTAATTTCATTTCTATTAAACTTTGGGGTTGCCCACCGAGGAAAAAACACAATGAAACATTAGATTGTATTCGAAAAGGTACAAGTTATTGTATTGACTCAAAAAAGTAAAATGTCACATAAAACGCCAGGAAGCTGCCTGCTGGAAGCCCTTGTCATTTTGCTGGAGGCCCGGTCAAGGCACTGCTGCGGGGTCCTGTCCTCCCACTTGGCCACCCTCCCCTGCTTGGGGAGCAGCTCTAGCACTTGTAACTACTGTATTTGACCTGGGCTCAGAGAGGCAGAGGGAAAGGCCAAGGATATTACTGTTGTGCTGGAAAATCACCTCTAAAAATATCACAACAGAAGGAAGAATGATTAAGTAGTGGGGGCTCATTTATATCCTCATCATTTATAACAAAAAACATAAACACAATGATGTATAATGCACTTGTCCAAAACTTGAGAGATTTCATATGCCTTTATCTCTCTCTTTGTTTCCTCCTCTTCCAGCTAGAAAAGTTTTATTCACTTTATTTTTAGTAGGATTTAATCACTCTACTGTGTGTGATTTATATTTTAAAACTTTTGTGATTGAATAAACCAGTGAGGTGACAGTCAGAAAAAAAGGGGGAAACTGAGTCCCCCAAGTGCAGAGAAGTGAAGACTGAGTGGTAACGGCAGACCTCAGCGTTCCCGGGCCTGTGATAAATCGGTGGGCACACTCACCGGCCCTCTTCTCCACGGAAGGAGCAGCAGGAGGGGAATAGATTGTATTTAAAGAAGGGGACTTGAGACTGCCGGTTAACTCAGTTGGCTAGAGCACAGCCTTGCAATACCAAGGTCACAGGTTTGGATCTCCCAACCAGCCAGCCACCAAAAAAATAAAATAAAATAAAAAAAATAAATAAAAAAAAAAAAAAGAAAGAAAGGGGCTCAGATTTGAGTGGATGTGCATGATGTCCTTGAGTGTAGGAACACGGCATTAAAATAAAATAAAGAAAGGGGCTCAGATTTGAGTGGATGTGCATGATGTCCTTGAGTGTAGGAACACGGCATTTACCCATTTAATGAGAGCAGTCTACCCAGAAGGCCACTCTGTGCGATTTTCTGAAAGGTGACATTTAGTTTTATCATCTTCGGCAGTCTTTGACTGGCGAGGAGAAATTCTGGACCTGTCGGTCTTCAGGAGACACTGGCCGAAGCCTCCAGATTCCAGAGGTGTTGGCTGTGTGGGAGTCGCACTCAACCAAGCACGCTCCCTCTGCTCCCCAGACCCTCTTCCACCCTCTGCAGCCAGAGCCCACTCAGACGTGCACCTCGTTATTGCGTTCCTCACCTTAGAACCCTTCGAGTAGCCTCTGGAAGGGTTTACCTTCAGTTCTCTACTGGGACCCAGAACACCCCAAGTGGCTGCCCACTGGCTGCCTTCCCAACTTTGCCCCACCCGGTGTGAAATGCTCCTGCTCTTCACTCCTTGAGAGGGTCCACACTCCTGCGTGGATGGCCCTGAACCCGAGAGTCTTCTCACCACGTCTTCCTTGGCTGCCTCTGGCTCCGAAACCTTCCCTCACTCCTGCCCCTGCCCCCAGGATCCACCAGTCCTGCGTGGGGACCACTGTGCTGATGGCGCAGGCACTGAGGGTCATCTCCTTCCTCGTCTGCTGCTCAGAAGACCTTAAGTTCCTGATGATGGTAGAGCGTGTAGGGAGTGCACAGTGCCTGGTGGTGGGCTGTGGTGGGCAGGGATGCAGGCAGAGGGGTCCAGGGCATGGAGTATAAGAGTGTTTGCTCTTGCTGGCTCAGGAAGGGTTATTTCTTAATCTTTTGCTTTTTAAAGATCCTGTTTTTCTTAATTACAAAGACAGCCTAGGTGTGAGCTTGACCCCGCACTCCTGATGTCAGTGGGGTGAGAAGTGACTCTTGCAGGCACTGGTCTGCAGGGCCAGTGGTCTCACTGGACAGCATTTGTGTACCAGGGCACCCAGTGACCGGAGGGCAGGCAGTAACAGCAAGAATTGGCTACCGGAGCCCTGAAGTTGGGGTGCGTGGCTGATCACCTATGTTCTGAAAGCTGGTCTTTTGATTAGGATTTACTTCTGTAGAGTGCAGTCTGCACCATTTATCTTAGCTTCTGAGTTTTTCTAATAAAATTCCACACCTGCATTTAAGATTTATTTTTATAGAAACACTGCCGTGGCTGAGTGTAGGTGCTCTCTGAGAGTGAGATCGCCTTTGCTGCATTTTACAGAGAAAGCTTAATTTAGATCTGCACTCTGCTTTGAGACTGTGCCATTTATACAAATGAAAGGCCCATTTAAAATAGCACATTTCCCTTACTGTGTGTGGAAACTCCTAAGTTATTTGGTTGAGCCTCATCGGTGCGGATGTTGTATGTTGTGTGAGTTCTCCTCCTGTCCTGACTCAGTTTCCCGTGCTGTGCTGGGGAGCCTTGCTGCAGCACAGCAGCCTTTATCTCAGACTCCACAGCTCCATTCTGGAGGTGGAGTGTGGCCTTGTGTGGTACCACAGCCTTCATGCCACCGTCCCCTACACGTCACCAGACATGCAGGAGCAGCAGCTCAGTGTCTTCCCCTTTTCTGCCTCAGGGGCATGAAGCTTAGAAGTGATTAGTGGCTTGTCGCAGGCCATCCTGTGACTTGTGCTTCATTCCTGGGTCCACTGAGTTACAGATGGCATCCCCCAGACCGCTCTTGATTGAGTTCACATTAACTCGCCTCTTCCACTCGCTAGTTTATAGTATCAGTAGATAGAGTGCATGAGAGCATTCACCAACATTCATGAGAAATACGTTCTGCTTTTGAATGTTCATTAATGTCAATAGTACTGTCCTCCAGAAAACAGACATTGTGAGCTAATTAAGTATTCATCTGGCCATATGTACTTGTTTAAAATAAAGGGAGTTTGATGTAGAAAGAGGTGTGCATTGGAGGGATCATCCTTACTTTTTAAAATGTTAGCTAACATGAGATTTCTTGAAAAGAACAGGAAGAATAACACTGTGTTTTTACCCCCAGAAAGCAACCCAAACCTGCCTTGTTTGTTCCTTCATGGTTAGTAACAGCCAGCAAAGGTGCTGAAACCTAAAAGTGTAAAAATAGACTTCCAAAAGGAGAAGTGAATTCAGAGGGGCCCTGGGCTTTCCCCTGAGCACCCGTGTGAGGTGCGGCCTCAGAGGTGGCTCAGTCATTCCACAGCCTTGTGGAACACGGAGCTAGCTAATCTTCACAAGCTTTATTTCAAAAAGGCAACTTCTTTTTAGAAGTGAAAACCCTTTAGGTACCTGGATTCATCTAATAAGTGGACACTCCCGTCCTTTAAAACAGACTGGGCCACCACAGTTGGAGCTTGGTTCTCTTCCCTCCAGTTAGTTATAAACGTACATGGCCTGTGTGTTTCTGGAAGAGGGTTTTTCTGAATTTTTTACATTAAGGTGCGTAAAATCAGATCTGGCTGTGGCAAGCACGTGTGTGTCTGAAAACAGTGTTCCTGTTTTTCTGCCTCCCATCGTGAGTGGCCTCATGGGACTGAGTATGCCAAGGGGTGAGGAAGGACTCATAGGCTTCAGCTCCCTTGGTTTTTTACCCAGGACCCAAGGACCCACCTTGGGGTCCTTTCCTGCTGCCAGCCCTGCACAGATCAAGGTGGGTCTCTGGGAGGGTAGCAGGGTGGCAGGAGCTTTCTCTCCCAGGACCTCAGTGTGGTTCTGGGGCACCCTCTGCAGCCACAGAGACAGGGCGGGGCTTCCCCCTGGGCCAGGCAGCAGGGTAGGAGGCCCTCAGCTGTTCAAAGGGAAGATAAGGCCACATGGGCATGACCCCAGCATCTTGAAGCTGAGACTCTGACTGCCACTTGGCGGCAAGGCTCTTCTGTGCCTTTGTCCCCCCCGGGAAGCAGGACCTGGTACCAGCGGCCCCTGAGGTACATGTGGGCAAGATGCTGTGGGAGCCTGGCAAGCCTGCAGAGGCACTGCCAGCCTGCGAGGAAGGCCAGGAGGGGACACTCCTGAGTGTGAGGGCGAGGTCAGACCTGGGGCTTCCGAAAGCAGAGCTGGTGGGATCCACAGACACCTGGACACAGGTGCATGAGAGACATATAGGCGACACTGGGGCTGGCCTAAGATGGAGAAGACCAGGCAGGAGCTGTGGGCAGAGGAAGCAAGAGCTACTTCCTGCCTAAAGTGCACATCTGAGCTACTTAGGCAGGAATCCCCTTCCACCTGGTCACCTGCACACGTCGCCCATCACTTCTCTTTTCTTTCTTTTTTTTTTTTTTTGTCTTTTTTCCGTGTCCGGCAACAGATCGCAACCCTCAGTGTTGCCCCCGTACCGGACCGGGGACCGGCGACAGGATCACAAGCCTCGGCGTCGCTCCCGCGCCTCGCTCAGCCAGTGAGCGGGAGCCGGTCTGTACGTGGGATCCGAACCCTTGGACGGGAGCGCTGCCGCGCTTCCCAAGCGGTGCACTATCCAGTGCGCCACCGGGCCGGCCCCATCACTTCTCTTTTCTGATGGTTCTCTTTCAGCAAAGCAAACTGGACATAGTAAAACATGATTAAGTTGTTTTTCATAAGAACATATCCTCTTGCGCCTGGCTTCGCGTCACCCTGTGTGCTCCCTGCAGAGCATGGGTGCTTGTCCCTAGTGGGGCTCCCAGGAGCAGGGCTGCCTCAGGTCCCCTGCCAGGAGTTAGAACTGACCCAGGAGCAGCAGGCAGAGGCCTCATCCAGGCACCTCTGTGGCCGGCTCCTCGGCCTAACTAGCCTGTTTGGTGCGTGGTGCGGCGTTGTCAGAGAGCTCTAACTGTTTTTTGCTTTTTTAACACCTTTGATTTGGAAGCGGGTCATAGACAGCCAAGCAGAGAAACTGAAAGAGCTCGACAAAGAGATCCGCCCGTTCCGGCAGAACTGGGAAGAAGCGGACAGCATGAAGAGCAGCGTGGAGTCCCTGCAGAACCGCGTGACTGAGCTGGAAAGTGTGGACAAGAGCGCGGGGCAGGCGGCTCGCAACACGGGTGAGGAGGGTGGGAGGGCGGGGCCGGGGCCGTGGGGCTGGGCGGGAGACGTGTGTCTTAGAGCCCGCGGTGAGAGCTGTGCCGTGAGTCCGTGGGATACAAGGTGCGTTAGGCACATGCTGCCTTCGAACGGTTCTTTCTAATTACAGGTAATACAATGCAAAGAGCTGTGATCATTTGCTGACTGAGATTCCTTCAGTGAAGAGAAATATTTCCCGCTTAGACTTGTCCCCTTCTGTGCGGTGGTAGAGAGTGGGGCTGGCACACCTGCAGGAAGCTGCAGAGCCATCCACAAGAGAGGCAGGGGCCATGGGGGTTAGCCACAGGACAGGCCTGAATAGAGAAGGGCACAGGAGGCCAGGGCCTGCTGGTCAGGAGCTCCAGGCCACACTCCTGAGCACGCATAGGACAGGAGCTGGCAAGGCAGGGGAGGTGGAAGGAAATCTCAGCACACTCACCAGTGTATTCTGGTATTCAGAAGCAGATGTGGGCCTGTGGCTTTGGGGACTGAATGAGTATTGTGAATATTTGCATGAAAAGGATTAATGTGGAAAGGAACCAGGATTATCGTGGTGCGGGTGGGGTTGGATTAAGCAGGCAGATGATTCAGGATTGGAGCAGAGAGCTTAGACTCAGGACACAGGTGATTCCGTGGCCTGGAGGCCAGAGGGTGGCCACCCCTGCCCCCCAGGGACTCCTGCTTCAGTGGGCTTCTGAGGCTGCAGCAGTGGAGAAGGATCACTTTGTCACTGACCCTGCATTGAGGTGCCCTGTGGCATGCAGGCTCAGGGTTACCCACCCAGGGCATCCTGTCTTAGCAGTCTGTGACCTGACAGTTTGTCCGGCCAGTGACTGTGGATGTGAGTGTTGGGGGTCCTGGAACCTGAGCCCTTTCATAGAAGGAAGATGTTTCAGGACATGTACACGGTGTTTTTCTTCTCCTACCCCCACCCCCGGTAGCCACAGTGATTTTTACTTTGTTTACTTCAAATGCTTGTGTGGATTTGCTTCCCTAACCTTTCTGATGCTCACCCGTCTCGTTCGCCTGCGCTAGGCCTGCTGGAGTCCCAGCTGAGCCGGCATGACCAGATGCTGAGCGTCCGTGTGGATTTGCTTCCCTAACCTTTCTGATGCTCACCCGTCTTGTTCGCCTGCGCTAGGCCTGCTGGAGTCCCAGCTGAGCCGGCATGACCAGATGCTGAGCGTCCATGACATCCGCCTGGCCGACATGGACCTGCGGTTCCAGGTCCTCGAGACCGCCAGCTACAACGGTGTGCTGATCTGGAAGATCCGTGATTACAAGCGGCGGAAGCAGGAGGCCGTCATGGGGAAGACCCTGTCTCTTTACAGCCAGCCTTTCTACACTGGCTATTTTGGCTATAAGATGTGTGCCAGGGTCTACCTGAACGGGGACGGAATGGGGAAAGGGACGCATCTGTCGCTGTTTTTTGTCATTATGCGTGGAGAATACGATGCTCTGCTTCCCTGGCCGTTTAAGCAGAAAGTGACGCTCATGTTGATGGACCAGGGGTCCTCTCGGCGTCACTTGGGAGATGCATTCAAGCCCGACCCCAACAGCAGCAGCTTCAAGAAACCCACTGGAGAGATGAATATTGCCTCTGGCTGCCCAGTCTTTGTGGCCCAAACTGTTTTAGAAAATGGGACGTATATTAAAGATGATACAATTTTTATTAAAGTCATAGTGGATACTTCGGATCTGCCCGACCCCTGACGAGTCACTGGGGAGGTGGATTTAGCAGAAGGTAACTCCTCTGGAGGGTTTGAACCAGTCTGTCTTCACTGAGGTCCTCGCGCTCAGAAAAGGACCTTATGGAACGGAGGAAGCGGCAGAAGGCGGATGCGCAGCGGGTGGGAGGAGCCCCACATGAAAACAACCTGATGTGCTTTCTAATAGACTAGCAGCACTCCGCTCTGAGGAATTATTTATCCTTCGACGAGATAAATACTGCTGTCAGAGAAGGTTTTCATTTTATTTTTAAAGATCTAGTTAATTAAGGTGGAAAACATACGCTAAAAAAAAGAAACATGATTTTTCTTCCTTAAACTTGAATATCACAAAAAGAAAACACACACGTGTGGGGATAGCTGGACATGTCAGCATGTTAAGTGAAAGGAAAACTTATGAAATAATAATACAATCCTGATATATTCATTCTAAAACTCAAGAGTGCAATCTTGTTTCAAATATAGTATATTGTCTATTTTTAAGGCCTCATCTGGTCTCTGTTTTAATAATTTGTTTGTCAGAAGACCCTGAAATATACACCTAGGTCTTTTTTTGAAAGTCTCTAAATTCAGAATCATTTTTTAATTTAAAGTTCTACAAAAAATTGTTACTGCAAACATTTTATTTTAAAACGTTGATAGACTGATATTTCTTGGAAGAAAATGTAAACTATCAAACACTGGTTATCACTTGTGATAGGAAAGAGAATATTCAATCTGTTGTTATTTCTCGTTAGAAATGTAAACCTTCAATACCTGTCGTAGTTAATGACACTACTTCAAAATCACTATGAAAGGGACATTGCTCATGGATGCTGTGCATCATTTTCAGATTTATAATTGTTTTCACCCTAAAATAGGGCATTAGTTGAACTTTGGAGTTCTAAACAAAATCCTGTAGGTTTTTAAAATTCTGCCCCATTTGTCCAGATGAGCTGTCTATTGCTGACAGCACCGACCTTCAGTCTCCAGTGTCCAGTGTCCAGGGGTGGGCAGGTGACTTGTGCTGAAGGAGGCCACAGCAGATGTTTCTTCGTTCTATCATATTGCTGCATTTTATTAATGATCTCCAAAAGCAACATCTTTGCATAGAGGTGGTGGCATACAGTACACGTGCCTTAGATGTGACTTGCTGCTTCTCGACCCTGGGTTTGCGTTCAGCATCATTCTAGAAAGTGATAGTTTAACCTGACTTTTCTCTCTACCACTAGATCTTTGTCTCGACAAGGGCCCTCAGACAGCTCCGTAGCTGCTGAGGGGAAGCCAAGCTCCACCGTCGGCTTCTGGAGCCTCCACCGTTTAATTATCACAGATTCCAAATCTCTAGGCCCCAAAAGTGTGCCACCTGCCCCAGGTGCGGCCTGGTCCCACCCCGAGGGAGGCAGGTGTGGAGCAGAAGCCAAGCCTCTCTGTGTCCCCACCTGGGCCGTGGGTATCCACACAGCTCAAAGCAGAACCCACTGAGCATTCCAGAGACCGCTGCTCTGGGGGCCTGCTCAGGCTGACTGCCTGGCATCCCTGAACCACCTCCCTGGCAGGAAAGGTGGCCTCAGGCCCACTGTCCCAGCCTGCGCCTGCCCAGGTGGCACTCGCAACTTACTGTTTACCGTCTCTCAATGGTCCAACTGTGATTAGAAGCCTGGAGCCCTGCCCCTGCGCCCCTTTTGCTATGCACCACGCTTCATGGTGCTCTTACCACTGATGGGTGCTACACGTGACGGGTGCTTCTTAGGCAAAACCAATGTGTGCAAACCACCGCATCTGTGCCACTCATCCAAAAGACGCGCCCACAGTTGGCCAGCTGGGCCGCGCACTTCAGACTGCCTGCCTCTGGGCTCTCCCCATGGTTGCGCGGGGACAGCTGGGTTGGTGCCCGGTGGCCCACCTTGTCTCTGGTGCTGCCATCTGTCCTGGGTGTGCCTTCGCCCCAGTGCCTGCTGGAAGTGCCCTCCTACCGCCTGCCCATCCCCCGTGCTCCCATGCGTGACCTCATTGGTCCCAAGCATCTGCCATGCTCTCTCGTGCCGCTCGCTCGTTCATCTGCCTCTCCTCTCTCCACTCTCCTGGGATTGCTTTGGGGCAAGTCAGTGTCATTGGTTTTGCCCCATGAAGGAGTCATGTGTCCCTGCTCACAAAGGAAGGACTTCCTGCAGAAGTTGCGGAAACTACTTCCCTCGAAGGTGTCCCCAGCCTCCTCCAGGCTTGTACCCTGGGTTCTACCTTGGTGGCCTGGAAAACGGAGGACCTTCTGGCAGTCCCTACCTGGCTCAGGTGGCCTTCCTGCAGCCAGAGATTAACAACAGGGACATCCCTGTGACTTCCTTCCCCCTTGCAAAAAGCAGGTACAATATTAACAAATTACTTAGGATAAGTAACATCTTGTTCTGGTAAAAAAAACCATTTTTTTCCCCTTCTCTGGACTTAAGTCCTGGTTTGGGTGTGGGCCGTCAGCTTGTTGGTGGTACAATATTAACAAATTACTTAGGATAAGTAACATCTTGTTCTGGTAAAAAAAAACATTTTTTTCCCCTTCTCTGGACTTAAGTCCTGGTTTGGGTGTGGGCCGTCAGCTTGTTGGTGGGATTTTTCCAGTTGTCCTTCTTAGACATGCTCCTGGTGGGACACGATAGGCCCTCCTTGCCTTCCGCCCAAGGAGCCCACAGGATGTAACTTGAGTACCTGGCACTGTCCCCTAGGATGAGGCGTGCTGTGTGTCCTCAGCTTCATCCTCACGTGACTTGATAATAGAGTGGGAGGGGGTCATGTACCTTGTAGTCTCTGTGCTGTGTTCATCTTTCTCTCCTGTGTACTGGGGACTTATTGGAAAGCAGTCTCATGAGTAGTGTTTAAAGTTGTCCCCCGACCGTGGATGTGCCTGGTGTTGCTCCGTCCTAGGACTCCTCGGTGGCCCCCCGTGGCTGAGGCCCAGCTGCCCGTCGTGGCAGCACTCAGCCCTCCCCACACACAGGGTCACAGCCACGGGAAGTGCAGGGTGGTCACACACTGTGTGTACTTGGGTGTACACTTCCCATTCACTAAAAGTGACAAAACTCCCAAGACAGAACTGTTCAATACCTTAAAGAAACCAACACCGAGTCTTTCGTGCATGAATTAAACCCGTCTGCTTCCCTGTCTCCTTCGTAATGGAAATGAAAACAACTTCCTGTTTCTACTTGCCTCGTGCAGTCTCTCGAGCACTGTCGCTCTGTGCTCTCTGCTGCTGGGGGGGGG